CCCCCCCCCCCCCCCACACACACACACACACACACACACACACATTCCCCTTTGATGTTTACATTAGTGCTGCCAATTAACTCTTGGAAAATGATTAAATATGTAAATGTAAAGATGCTACTGCTGGTCAATCAGTGTAATCATATTTGAAATTCAGCATCTGGATGTCTGTGGTAGTTTTTCTGCTTCTTATGGTACTCACTGACCTGACTTCTTAGAGCAGAAAAACATGTGGGCTATCAGAAATGATCAGCCAAGCATCCCTTTCCTGGGATGTGATTTAATCTTAGGGACTGCTGCTGCTGGGAGCAGCAGTCTGACAGCAATTAAATTAGGAATGATCCTAAAAATGCTGGGCATGGACAAGACATGAAGGTGCCAAATGGTGCTGTGTGTCAGGAGGGGGGGTTAGAAGAACTGGCAGTGCTGTTGAAGAGGCAGGAGGCAGCTCACTCCATCCTCTGGACATCACGTTCAGATTGAGCAGGCTCGCTGCCTCAAAGATCAAAGCGCCACCTTTCTGAACAATTTTCCAAGTACGTCTCATCTCTTCAGATGAAACTCTCCAGACACAAAACAGACTGAAACCTCGCTGGTGACAGCTGCTACCCAAAGTTATTCCTACCGCTGTGTGTGAGTAATTGAGTAATTTGTCAGCAATAAGAAAATTAACCCCCTTCCTCCTAAAGGCACATAAAGTAATATGTGAGATAAGTGAAGTCATATGGAAGAGGCAGGGAGGACACGTTTTGTTGCATTAAACCCATTACCAAATGCACAGGGTGGCACTTATCTACACTGTTTTTTTAGAATTATTTAAACAAAATTTGGCAGGAAAAGGCTTTAAACTATTTTGACTCATTAGCGACATGCATGACTCATAGAGGGTATGAGATAATGCAGGCTAATATAGCAAGAATTTTGGGTATTTCTTAGTAAAATATCATTTGAATAATAATAATTTTAATAAAAATAATTTAAAAAAAGTTGCTGAATAAAAATCTACTGAAAGAACAATGAGTTGACTCACCACTCTGGATATTTAAAGCGTGGTGCTTGTCTATCGTCCACCCTCCCAGTTTGGAGGCGGTGATTTCGTAGCCTTGTAGAACAGCCGTCCTCTTCTCCCACAGAATAAGGTCTGGACATGATTCATACTCAAAACCCACAGAAACTACAGGAAAAAAACAAACAAAACTAGTACTTAGTAACATATTCTCTGCTTAAAAAAATATGCACCATATGCAAAAAAATACCAAACTCGTTGCATACCAAATGCTTCAGAAAGTCCAGACACCTTCTGGCTGTAGACATCAGTCTTATCCCACACAAAGTCATAGGAGAGGTTGGGGGCTGCGGGAAACCACTTTCTGAACAGTCTGCCCTCTACAGCCACCAAGAGGTGAACCTTCATCAAGTTGAAAGGAATTGTGGAGTGGGTGAGGGTCACCCTCAGTATTGACTTATAACCTGGAGTCCTGCTGCTTAGATAGCTGAGTTTCATATCTGTCCCCGGTACAGGCACTTCCTCCTGCAGAGACTACAGGAAAAAACAAAGCGTATTAATGGAAGGGGAATGGAGGGAAGAGAAGGAAAATAAATTAAAGAAAGGAAAAGGAAGGGAAGGGAAATAAAATGAAAGGAAAGGAAGGGAAGAAAGGGAATGAAAGGAAAATAAAGGAAGTAAAGGGAAAGGAAGGGAATGAAAGGAAAATAAAGGAGGGAAAGGGAAAGGAATGAAATGACAGGAAAGGAAAGGAATAGAAAGAAAAGGAAGGGAAAGAAAGTAAATAAAAGGAAAAGAAAGGAAATGAAGGGAAAGAAAGGAAAGGAAATAAAAGGAAAGAAGGGGAAGGGAAGGCAAAGGAAGGCAATGAAAGGAAAAGAAAGAAAGAAAAGGAAATAAAAGGAAAAGAAACAAAATGAAGGGAAAGAAAGGAAAGGAGAAGAAGGGAAGGGAAAGGAAATAAAAGGAAAGAAAGGGAAGGGAAGGCAATGGAAAGGGAATAAAAGGAAAGGAGGGAAAGGACAGGAAAGGAAAGGAAATAAGGGGCAAGGAAGGGAAGGAAATGATAGGAAATGAAAGGAAGGAAAGGGAAGGGAAAATAAATAAAATGAAAGGAAAGGA